TTTTGGTTTCGATGCGGATACTGTGTATCGATCGTTTGGCGGGAGGCGATGAACTTACTGACTTACTGACTTACTTGCATATTTCGGAAGGGTTCACGGCAGAGGGATTTAGTGAGGAAGTTTGTTCGTGGGCATAAATAGCTTGAGCTTAGGTAATTTGGGTTTGTCAAATGCAATGGAAAGATGGCTCGATGCATGTGCATAAAATCTGAACGATTGGAATGGGTAAGAACGCTTCAGCCCTGAGAGGATTCCGGCATCCAATGAACTGATCGCTTTCTTCATTGTTCTGCATGGATAAAAGATGAAGGAAACAGCCCGAGGATTAGATCCTGTAATTGGTGTCTGGGAAGTAGATATTGTGGTCACTGATCACTGGTGGCTGCTTGAACTTGGCGCTGTTTGCGAATGAGGATATGTCATGCGAAGAATGTCCAGAACATCCTAGATACACTATGGAATTGAGGGTGTGGTGAAAAAAGGGGACACCGGGAGGGAGGACTAAATTCTCAAGGAAGACTGATAACCTTAATTCGAATAATTTCCTACCGACATAATCGTTGAATTTACACGGGAAAAAGTTTATTATTACCAAGAGAGTTACCAAGATATGCAATGTCAGAGAAAGCATTGATGAGAACTTCTCTAAACAAACCCCTCGCTAGGTACACTGTATGTAGGTAAGTTGGCTAAAAACACATGGATTAGATTAGATGTTTTGAAACCGCACTCTCAAATCGTTGATCACATGCGTCGTCGTGATGCTTCGTGTACATTATGAATGTGGAGAAGGGGGACCAGCTTTTCAGGCTCGACATACTATTTAGGCTTTATGACAGGCTTTAATCTTTGGCTACTCCATTCAGTGTCCTTGTTTTTCCTCAGATAGATGGGATTTTCACGATGGGCACGCTGTTTGCAATATATCTTCTCAAGCACTGCTCAATTCTAGGCTCCGTGATGGATGATCCGGAGAGGCTTTGCACGATATTGTCATCATCATGCGAATCGTAATGATGGAGAGATATTAATGTGATGGAGTGGTTAGATTGATTGATTGATGGAGCTGAGAGATACGAATCAGTGACATGTACCGGTGGTGAGACCTTGGGCAAAGAAGGTAATGCCGTGTACGAAGGAGAGGATCCTCTTCTGTTCCAGGTATCAATCCAGGCCTTTTCGTGTTCCCATTCACAACCAGGAAAAGGTGCCAAAGTATGACTCCGAAGATGTGTGTGTGTATCCCACCATCAAGCAAGATTGTGGCACAGTACTCCGAACAGGATAGTAAAAACTCCCTAGTTGGGAATCGAGGTGGATGTACCAGTGCGAAAATTGATTAGATGTATGGATTGCGAGACTTAGCCACGCGATATGTACGCGTTGTGGTTGTACGGGAGTGGAGACGTGAAGCTCTGGTGTTGATTTTTGTATATTTTATATATATATATATATATATATATATATCTCGTACATAGATGAATGATTAGGTGAGATGAGATATATTGAGCGTGCCAGGTCAAGTCCTGCTCGAAGTGAAGATTTAGTTAGGGGAAGCTTGTGTTTGAGAGCGTTTAGTGGCTCAAAATAGTTGAGATTTAGGTTCATCACAAGTTCAAGCACCATTTGAAATTTATGCAATAGGCTTCGTCCCCTGGATTCCACTTCATCGGTCCCGTCAAACGGTCGAAGGGCTCGAAGGATTTTCCCTTCCAACCTTGAAACTTTACTACCCTCTTTTAAATCATCTACTTCGTACCCGTTGTACCCGTACGTGCGGTACTCTTTCGAGTCATCATATCATTAGTCCCTTCCTGTACGCGGTTCTCTGCACTATTGAACCACTTCACGGTATCTTCGGCTGCTGCTCTCGTTTCTCCTCTTGTCTTCGTCTTGAAAAGTTGGCTCCAGAACTTTAAAAAATCAACTCACTTGCAAGAAACTATTGTAACCAATTAATAGAAGTGGAACCTGTCAATATGATTTTCGTGGCACCAGGTATCTTAGATGATCATGTCAACAAAAAAGGATCTTAATGATTCCCCTTTGGTCTCTAGCCCATTTAAATTGGATGTCTAGCAAAACTACCATTACAGCTAATTTTCTTAGCTAAAGTTAGCTTAACGAGGCTTTTCCCTCCCTCGCTCATCGAACATCAATATTTATGCCAATCAAACCTTCGAGACTCGATTTGTGATTTTCGATTTCGATTTCCATTGTTCAAATGAATGTCGAGTAACTTTTCCTTTCCCTTACTTCCCACCACACCGCCCTTTTCATCGTTCTTCACCACATCGAATCTCATTCCACGTTTCTTCCCACCCTCCATATCCTATCCTATCCTATCTATTCCACACCACGTCCATTAAAGAGAGACGAACAAGAGATTGATAAGCCTTTCATCACTGCCACTAACAAAATCTGCGACAAAGAGTCCACGGAAGATTCCCCCACATCAGCTCTTTTTTTAAATTAAAAATCAAAGTGGTCCCTTTGAATAATCCCTAAGTATGACAAGGTATCTTTGTTGATCAAACCTACTAAGAGATCATCCATGCGCACTCTCGAGCAAAGACTTTTTCGCTACTTTCGGATATTCTGGATAGCTTGCGTGACCCAATGAGGAAGAGTGGATGTGAGAGAGAGAAATAAAAAAGATTCAAGATGTAACCAGAGTCTACCCTGTTACACCATCATTAACTTTGGTGAAGGGGGGGGACCTGTCGCGCGTTCATTGGGATGTGTAGATGGCGATGCACGTTTAAGAAAATAGGTAAACCTAGTCCATCGCTCGTCTCGCTCATTGGAACGCCTCTTTTTGCCTTCTACATGAGAGCACTAATTCGTTAATCTCATTCGCTCAATGGAGACACCAGAGACGATCTAATTCATGGCTCAGGGAGAGAGAGGACAATCTCATTCCTTTCCTGGCTTTGGGTATTGGGGATCTTTTGACTCTGGGATTGGGAATCATCAGATACTTTTCATAGGTCGTTCTCTTGTTACCTAGCATCAATGATGTACCGTCTCGTCCTCTCCTTTCTGACGAACTCTCGATCGATAGATTATAGGTAGATAGATAGATATTACATAGATAGATAAAGAAGAACAATCAAATATCAAAAGTTAACCCGGGGTTCTTTCTTCCTTTCTTGATTAGTTACTCAGCTAGGTAGGTAGTTATTGCTATTGATATTGAAATACTCTTTTCTTTTCCCCCCCCCCCCTTCGTTCGTTCCATTCCACTCACCTCTTTCGTCTACGTGTATTTCAAATGCCTGCGTTCTTTACGGGTGTTGATTGATAAATATACCATACGAGTATATCTACCATACATATACCAAATCTAGACTAAAAAAGTATCATTCTGGGTCGTTCTTTATTATTGATTGATAGAGCCCTTCTTTTCTTTATCAAGGCATTATTGTGAAGAGAGAATTGGATTCGATTGGTTCATCTTTTCCCTCTTTCTCCATAAAAGTATATTCTACCTGGGTATGTCCAGTCCAAAATACGCACAGCACTTTATTATACACAGATACACAGATACACAGATACATTACATACATTACATACACTTGGCATTTATACTTTTCTGACTTGACTCTTCTTATTTTTCACTTCACTCGTCTGATTTCTTACTCTCTCTTCTCTCCTCTCGCCCTCGACTACCCTTGACTACCCTTGACTCCAAGTACCTACTACCTTCCTAGTCAAAAACGAGCTAGGTATACTTCACTTACATACATACATCAAGCAGCAACCACACGCACCAGAATCCCGCTACTGTACGCACCTACGCACCTACCTTCACTCGACCATTCACACTTAAACTCAACTGATTCCTCATCCACCCAACTTGTACCATTTCCACTCATCATCCACCCAGACCTTCTCTTATTTCTCCACACTCTTCCACACTTATTATTATTCACTCACATACACCCACCACACACACACACACACACACACACAAAAACGCATCAATTTCAATTTTATTCTTCCTATTTTTCTTTCTTTCCTCCGAAAAAAGAATTTAAAGTCCTTCGACAATCCTTTCAAGTTGAGAAAAAAAAAACTTTTACTTACTTTTTATTTTTCTTCTCCTTCGAGACTTCCTTCTAAATCAAAGCTTTTTGTTACCGTTGTCGTGATCGTTGTCGTCGTTGACTTTACTTTGAGATACCATCACTTCCTTCTTCACATCTTCTTTCCATCAAATAGAGATACTACATACAAGACATTCAATCCTCAGACTCTGTAATATTCCCATCAAAAGCGAAGTCAACCCATCATCATCATCATCATCATCATCATCATCATCATCGATACTCGCAACGCAGAAGAAGAAGAAGAGAATTAAACACTTAAGTTTGACAAGGCCAGGCCATTTTTATCAGTCCGCGACCGAGAAAATACAAACTGATTCACATCCATTGTTCGGATTTTTCAGGGTTTTTGTGGTTTATATTGAAGAATCATCAACTCTTTTCTTGGAATTCACCCATCAAAAAGGTTATCTTCTTCTCTCTTCAATCATCAAAATTCCTTTTCATCTTCGACAACAATCTTTTCGATTAATCTTCATTCTCTCGCACACATTTCATCTCTCATTACGACGATTTGTTTGTTGCTTGTGTTGAAAAGAAAAGGCTTGCCTCTTTTCTTCACACCACCACCTCATCTCACCACACAACCTTCGAGCTTCTTTTTACAGAATTACATTTTACAAAGCAAAACAATATAATTACATCGAAACTCTTTCGACTTTACGTACAATACGCATTCGATAATATCTTTTTTCGAATCATCTTAATTTATCTAATACAATTCCCGTCCCTTCCTCAGGTCGACCTGACAATCCTTACACGATCAATTCATCGACACGAATACATTCTCTTCGATAATTGATCCTTCACGAATCTACGAATCGATCGATTCCTACCTTGACACCCAAACTTACAATATCCCCTTCAATTGTAAAAAAAAAAAACATCAAAATGGACGCAGGCGGTCTTGCTCAGATGTCTTACAACAACTTCCCTTCCAGTAATGGCTTGGGTATGCCAGTTACTGGTTTCGCTGCTAGAAGAGCTGCTAATGGTTCCAACATCAAACGTCTTTCATTTGAACCCACTGCCAAGACCCTCGATTCCCAAGATAATGGTGCACCAACCCCAAGAACATCTCGTTCTCACTTACTTGCAGGTTTAAGAACTGCACCAAAGTCTGCCACTTCTGCAAACTTCCCATCAACTGCCCCACCCACCCAAGTTCAACACAACACCGGCAACAGTGGAATGAACTCGAGCAGATACGCTGATAATGGACCAAAGACTTCAGGATATGCTCCATTCAATCAACAAAACCATCAAATGAACCAACAGATGTACTCTGTTCCCGAACAAGTTCTTTCGACTCCTGAGATTCGACTTGATGATGGACATGATGGAATGGATCCAAACTTGTATGCTCAGCTTGTCGCCACCAATCTGTATCTCGCAGAACAACAACAACGTCTTCAGCAACAATTGATGAACGTTCAAGCTGCCGCTCAACAAATGAGTTTGAATGGACAATACGCAACTCCACCAATCACCCCACAAAACATGGGAATGTATCAACAACAACAACAAATGAAGCAAAACATGCAACCAATCATCACACCTGTTCCCGGTGCTCAACCTGGTGTTTACTCGTATTACAACCCCATGACTGGACAACAAACCTATTTCATGGACAACAGTCAACAATACGTCGAGTCACCCATTGAACAAAGAGTTAGCTATTCTCCACCACAACAACCTGGTACACCAAGATTCCAAGTCTCCCCACCACCACAATCGGATGCACCATCTTTCACAAGATCTATCAGTCCACCAAAGAAATCTGCATCGCCACCACAAGACCATGCTCCTTTGCCTCCACCATCTGCTGGTGCTTTCCGTAGAGGACATCGTAGCTCAAAGTCTATGGCTATGTCTATGTCTGGTGAGATTTCTTTGGATGGTCCAAAAACTGCTGGATTACCAAAATCTACTTTCCCAGGTACTCCAACCCAAACTGGATTTGGTCCAGGTGCAGGACGTGCTGGTGAACATCCAGTCAGACAACCACGTGGACCACCACCTATTGAAGAATTGAAATCTAAGCCAACTGCCAAGTTTGAGGGTTCCAAGAACTTTGCTACTCGAACTCGTCGAAGTGCTGTTCACAACCTTGTTCGTGCTGGGTTGGAACGCCGAAGAGCACCGGGTAGTGCTTCAGGTAGCATGTCACCTGTATCTGAAGATGGTGAGATGTCATTCTCAGCTGATGACAATGATTCGGATTCTGGCCGTAGTGGAAGTGGAAGTCTTTCAGGTCGTCCAAGTCCACCAAGTTCTCGTACATCTCAACATGGTGCCATTGGTTCTAACCGCCCTACTTCAAGACAAAACTCTCTTGAAATCAAGTCAGTCATGTCTGTTGAATCATTCACTGCTGAGAGTGTTTCTGGTGATGAACAAATTGGTGGTAGCTTCGCTGCTGTCTTCAAGAATGCTGGAAAGAAGCCTGAAGTAGCTGCTATTCAAAAGAAAGCACCAATGCTTGTTCTCACTAGCGCTGAGAAACGCAAAAGCTCCATCTTTTAAGATGTTTGAGTAAATCACTTTATGGGTAGATCCCATTTTTTGATTATCCGATCTCTACTTTAACTTGTCGAACAAAAAGAACAATTTGATATTGCATTCGACATTGTGCATATTTCGATGCAGGAATCGGGGTTTCCTTGCTTGCAATTGCTAGTTTTTTGACGAAGATGATGAATACTTTTCGAGAAACAAACTTCTTAATTAATTTTGGAGGAACTTTTTGTGCTCTCAGCCTCAAGGTTGTCCTTCGTTCGATATAACAATTTCATTTTTTTCTTTCGTTCTGGGGGGTTCTGACTTCTTTTGTGAATCGCATCCTGGAAATTCTCTCGTATTTTCAATACTATGGAATTGTTTGACTTTGATTTTATCGGTTTATTGTCATAAGTCACAAGTCCCAAGCTGTCGAATAAGAGTGAAATCTGAATGCTGTTCCGAATGAAAGGGAGGGATTTTCGATGGGTCTGAGGGGAATGCAATGGATTGGGGATATATGTTTGGACTTTTTTGCTCTTTATTCTGATACTGGGGATGGAATGGTTAAATGGAAATTGTGATATGATTATATGCCTGGGTTTACTCTCCTTTTTTTTTTTTTCTCTCTTTCGAGTTTGGGGGATATAAGAATATGAACCTGTTGATCAGATTTGGAGGAAATACCAGGCTGGAATATGGGGATACGGATTGTGGGTTGTGAAGGAGAGAATAGGGAAATTCTTGAATGTGCGAGTAGGTGGGGGATGAGACAGGATAGGGGAGATGGGATTAAGGGAGGATATATTTGTAGCAATATGAAATACCATTCTTTTTGACATTATTCTTCCGGTCATTGCTTTGTATGTTTTGTGATGAATTTGTTGTTGGTTGTAGATGTGATGCAGGTGAGGAGAGTGTAATATGAGTGAGTGCAGGGTCAATGAATGAATGATGTGACGAATAATACCTGAGTAAAGAAGGGGTAACTCGCTACAGCATCCATCTTAGGTAAATTTTCATCCGCTTCTTCCTCCTTTTTTCGCGTACTGCCCTGCCCCATTTTACTTCCTACAATGAATGGAATGGAGTACTTGCTTTTTTTCTTCTCTTCAGCTGGAAGAAAAGAGAGGAGAGGAGATGAGAGGGGAAATAAGAGATGATAATTATTTTGGGTTGATGGGGTGGGCCATTGATTAAATTGAATTGAATTGAATGTTGGTAAGGGGGAGGGCGGGGGGGGATATTGGATATTGGATGGATATTTGAAAAGGTTTGGCTATCTAATGGGATTGTATTGTTTTGTTGGTATGTGTAGATAGGTAGATGGTGTATAGTGGGGTGGGATGGGGATGGTGTATGGGGATGTGGCATGGGATGGTGATGTGATGGAGAGTTTGTGGTGGATGACATTGAGGTTCTTGGGTGGGTGGGTTGTGTATAGAATAATAATATAATAAATAGAAGGGAAAGAATAGGAAGAAATAGTATAAGAAGAATAAAAGTGGGTTTATAAGGGTTTGAAAGAGTTGAGAGGTTGGGGGGTTGGGGTTCTGGGAGGATAGATGGGAGGGTAAATGGATTTTGATTATGTTTGTGTTGTATTGGTATGTATTTATATGTTTATACTTACTGAGTTGAGCAGATGAGAAATTGACGAATGTCTAGAAGTTTGAGTATAAATTCCGGGGAGAATCATCTTCTACATGTAAGATTATATAGGTAGGGATGTGGAGACAGCGGAGAGGCGAGGGGAGGAGAGGAGAGGAGAGGAGGATGTTTATCGTGTCTGCGCATATTGATTAGTTTCGGTTCGTCCAGACTATATTAGGTTGGGTGGGAAATGAGGATTTGTGGTTGCGGTGTTTGATGGTGGGAAGATGGAGTGGTGAGAAGATAAGTGGATAGAAGGGGGAAAGAAGATGGAAAATGGGATTTAAGAATTTTTAGGATGGGAGAAGGGGGGGGAGAGGAGAGAGAAGAGAAGAGAAGAGGAGAGGAGAGGGAAGAGGAGAGGGAAGAGGAGAGGGAAGAGGAGAGGGAAGAGGAGAGGGAAGAGGAGAGGGAAGAGGAGAGGGAAGAGGAGAGGGAAGAGGAGAGGGAAGAGGAGAGGGAAGAGGAGAGGGAAGAGGAGAGGGAAGAGGAGAGAGAAGAGGAGAATGGGTTGGGTATATGAATTTTTCTTCTTCTTCTTATGGATTGCTTCTCTCTGGATGGTTTATGGTGTTGTATGGAATTATTCTCGATGGCGGATATATGTATGGTAGAATTGTTCGGTGGTGAAAATTGTGGTTTGGAGGGGATTGGGGATGGGGATGGGAGGGGTTTGGAGGAGCGTTAGCTAGGCTGTAGAGTGATGAATAAAGAATAGATAAATGGGAGTGGGAATGGAGATGAGATAAGAGAGATTTGTTGTTATGTTGTATTGTATTCACTGTTTGATATTTGTTGGGATGGGATGGAATGGACGTTCCGTCGTCGGATGTTGTTGTTGTTGTCACATCGCTCGCATTCTATCTTACTGTTTGTTGTTCATTCTTATTCTATCTTGTATTTCCAGATTTATCAACTCTGCCCATTTCCTCGCAGAGATTTGTATTATAAGTTTTGTATTCTCGCGGTCTGGCTGAGGAGTGTAGTGATAGTTCCTTGGATGTCATCGACTTTGTTTAGGATTTAACTCTGAGGATGAGATTTGGGGAGATGGGTAGGTTTTATATCGTAGGATTCTGGATATTTTGAGGGAAAAGCAAAATCTGTGATTATAAAAGTTTGACTTACCAAATAAATAATTTGTAATTGATATTGTGATTTATCCCTAGACTGGCTGAGAATTATGTGGCAACAGTCCCTTGAACCTTCTACTCTGTTCAGTATTTAACTTTGAGAATAGAAATTGGGGAAATTAATAGATTTTATATAATAGAATTTTCAGACTTTCAAAAGAATAGTAATATCTGTGATTATAAAAACTTGATTCACTAATAAGTAAGTAATTTGTAATTGCTACAGTGATTCACACCTAGAGGTTTATAGTGCACCAGACTTGGCAACGAGGAAAGAGATAAGTATATAAACTCCATAACTTTCCTGATTTAAATTTCGCCATGGACTGCACGGCGAATCATGGGGATAATTACATGGGTAATCCAATTGGATCCATGATTTCGGACTTCGGGAGGAGTCGAGAGAAAGAGATGAAGATTAAAATCTCCTATATGCTGAATTTTGATTAGAGGGAAGACCTGTTTTTATATGGTTGAGGATGTTATGACTACTGGCATTTTCATAAACTTTTGTCGGAATATAAGGGTCATTATTATCCCGAAATTGTCATCTGATAATTTGTGTTGAGGTGAAAAATATTGATATTTGATATATGATGACAGTGAATACGGTATGTTAAACTGTCGTCGAATTGAGGAATGCTATATTTCATCTTTTATACCATACCATGTATGACCTTTTTGCACCCAGAACACTTTGCTTCGAGGATGAGAAGACCACGATTTACCCGGAAAAAGAGACAAAGTCAAATTACAAGAGAAAATATAAACGTATAGGTACTTGTCGGCTATTTCGATAAATCCTGACAACTATATTAGGGTGGTTGGCCATATTGTGAATAGCCGACAAGCAAGTTAAGTGCCGTGTATAAGTGATATCAGCAAAAAGAAAATATCATTTTTCGCAATAAACCACTTGCGGAACTTCCCTCATTAATGAAATATCCCTCTAAATATTACACATGCTAGAGGTCAAGAGTAAACACCCGTCCCAGTCTCAATAATATCAGGAGAGCAGAATCGCGGGTTGACTATCCGGCTTCTTTTCTGTTCGTGAGTGTTGTAATTGATAGTCGTGGGTTTGACTCGTATCTTACTATGCTTGAATGCTGTGGTAGATTTAATGTGAGGTTGGTATGTTGATTAGCTTGGACTTTTGAGATGTAGATTAATGATAAGTGTAAGAGAGTATTTCGTCTGACTCGGAAATGGTGAAGGTTTGGATAGTCGGATTTGTTAGCTGACAGGTTATTTGCATTGTTAGATTAGCTAAGGTTTAGGTAACTAGACGAAATATATGGGAGGTAGAAGCTGGAGGTCTTAAAGTAATACGCTTGACTGTAGATACCTATCGATTGCTGAATCACTCACTCGTCACCGGATCATCCAAATTTTGGGACAATTAAAAGACTTTCATAAAGTTAACCACGCATTTCAAGACAAATAATATTGATATCCGCAATTTCCCAAGAGACCTATCACTAGTATGTGAAAACACTTTCACTATGATTGTCTTCACTCCCAGTTCCCAAATTTGTCTCAACCTCGTCAAGACAATTGAATAGAACCTCTGGTAGTAATCCTCCTTGAAAATTAACCATATCCCTATTATCTCATTGTTATATGTCTAGTTAATAGCGTATTGAAATTCCCATCCCCAATCTCTCTCATCCTATCCTAGGCTCAAGATGGAAGCTCTATATCCTGTAAATTTCTTCTTCTAACCTGTCCTACGTATCCTGAAAATGAGGAATGGGTAAGATAAGGGTTTGTATTCGGTGGTTGTTTGAAATTTGACAGTATGTCTGCGGAAGCGCAAACTATCTCAATGTGTGGAATGTTGACTTCAGGATGCAATTTTCTCCCCTCTTCAAAAGCAATGCGTATTTCTTCGGTCTTTTCTCGATAGATTTCCTCCGATATTGTCTCTTTCGAGTCATGTACGAATCGCTTTCCGGGAACTTCTCTGGTTCTACTTTGGACGGCGCAGGATCCAATCACAAACCTGAAAGACTCAAGCATTGGAAAGGTCGCGAAGAGTTCTCCATAGAGAGAAAGATTCTCATCCTTCAACATCATAATTTTATCAAAAGCATCGTTACGGTAAGCAACATAATCAGAAGGTCCGTAGAGAAAGCGACCCCCTAGAATGCTTATGTGACGAAGCTCGGCGAAACCCCTTCTTCTCTCTTTGCAACAAAGTAGCTCTGGGCAGAGAAGTCCGTTTCCAGGAATATAAAACCCGATGTTACGCGTCGAATCGGCATGACAAATGATGGTATCCTCTGATGGACTGTAAAAGACGGGAACTTTATTACACCGGGCGTAAATACAACCCTCGGTATGAGCACCGATCCTTTTGTAATGTTTGAGAAACATTTCTCGAGAATCGAAGCTGGCATCTTGTAGTGCATGAGGCAGCGAAGACGGAAATATTCCATGTTTAGTTGCATAAACCATTTTTCCTTCTGGAAGGGCTTGGAACCATATCTTAAGTTGAATCTCCTTAGGCAAGAGGGAGAATTTTGGGAAGCTTGAAGCTACTTGAACGCTGCAAGTATTGATCATATTGTTGACGTCGGAGGGAGTCATCGTGTTGGAGATAGTGTTTAATTTGTAGATATCTTTATAAAAGTTGACAAGACTCGAAAGCACCGGAACGCTTGGGGCATCCATCGCAGCATTGATATCAGGAGGATCCATCGTGCTGATGATATTGTTTCATCTGTAGATGAGACCTTGCAGAGTTTAATATAATAAAATTTATGAATGCGGCTGCCGTGAAATTTGACGCTAGTGAGATAGTGAATGATTCTCGGCTCTATGAGAACATCACGGCCAATCAAGAATGTTCACAGGCGATGGAGAACTGCAGTACTATAGACTTATGCTGCGAACTTTGTTCACCAACGAGTCTCTCGTAGCATCGAATTACAACGAGCTACATTTGGGCTGGACATTCAGTCAAGAGAATATCTCAATGGCTACGTCCATCCGGCCCACATACATTTTGTTCATCTATGCCGTATTGAATGCTGGTTATTCTAGCACAAGTATTACTGAAAGCTCATTGATGTTCTTATGATCACCGTTTATCAGTGAACTTCTCTTGCCAATATATTTAAGAATTTCACTCCACTTCTTTGGGAAGCATGGAGAGGTTGAAACACATCCTTTCATCTCTCCAGATATGTACAAAAGGGACGCGACAAGCCACTACTTTGGCACTTCTTCCCTGTAAGCATGGGCAAAAATAAGTAACAACATATTGAAGTTACGAACCGAAAAGTCTAACACATTACTATAATGCTTAGATATAAAACTGACCTTAACGTGCGTATGTTCTTAGCGAATGTTCTGGATTTACGAACAGAAGGCAATTGAATCCCGGATTAAGCGAGTTACGTGAGTGATGATAATGTTTGCAGGTTTTTTCCTACTTAAAAGCTTTGCGTTTCTATGAATGGAGGTTATAATTCATGATGGTAACGGATGGATTGGTAAGGTGTCTATTGGAAATTATAAACTCTTTTACGTCAGTGAATCGGAGTGATCTCCTCCTATACCTATGTGCTAAGAGCTTATCTCATAATGAGAGGCAAGAAGACGCTCTTTTGTGAGGCGTCTTTCGTCCATCAAAGTGGGAGATGAGTGTTGGGACGGGGTTGATTTTGTGTTCTGACTAAGCGCCCCTAAGAGGTTTAGTTCTGACAAACACAGTTTTGTGAAATCAGGATGAATATCAAATGAGCTATCAAAGCATTGTGTGTTTTTTATCTAGATGGTTCCTCTCTAAAGTTGGCTCTATACCTGTGGTTGTACAATAACATTGATAGCTCCACCAGGACGGTCTCCCACAGTCTTAAACGCGTCATTGACCTCTTCCAATGAGAAAAGTTTGTGTCTAAGGAATGAGAAGTCAATCACTCCCGCTCCAATCAGCTCGATGCACTCATCTATCTCCTCGCTGTTGAACCACAGTGTCCCGTTAACACTGACATCCTGTGCCATGATTTTGCCATAAGTATTAGTGATTTCACCAGGCACTCCACCGGCAGCCAATGCTACTCTTCCACCACGTGCCAAAGAGCTGATCAGTTTGGCGGTACCGTCTGACTCACCTCCATTACCAAGACAATCGTAAAGACCATCGGGACCTAATCCATTCATTTGTTCCTTAACCCATTGGACAAGATCTCCCTCATCTTCAGAGGAACGAACGGCAATACGTCCTTTCGTAGCCATTCCTTCGATCTCAGCGAGACGTTCTTTGTTACGTCCGATGCCCAGAATCTTTGTGCAGCCAAAACCAAGAGCAATCGCTACGGCGGCATATCCTAAAGTACCCGTCACACCATTGATCAAAAGCGTCTTTCCAGGTCCCATTCCACATTTCTTCAGACCTGCATATGAAGTACCGATGTAACCGAGTCGAGCTGCGGTGTTAATGTCGATCGAGGGAGGAATCACGGCGATATTTGCATCAGGCGATAACAAATATTGTGAAAGTGAACCAATGGGATATTGCTCAAGAACTGCCTTTCCTTCTGGGGTGTCGATACCGAAGTACGCACGTAGGCATCCCCGGTTGCATAAATCCCTCCTCCCTGCATTTCGTTGGCAACAATAAATAGAGACCCGGTATCCCGCCTGACTTACCCTTTCGACATTGTTTGCAGTTGCCACAAGATACATGCGGGTCAACATAAACTCGATCCCCGGCCTTTAGCCCGATAACATTTTCTCCTACAGCTTCAATGACACCGGCAGCATCCAGACCGAAAACAGAAGGTAATTTCGGTAAGGTGTAATAATGGCCTGGGCCTTTTGTTATTATATTGGCAGCGTTTGGAACAAGACAAGCGGCCTCGACTTTGACGAGAACTTCTTTTGGTCCCGGAGTTGGCTTCTCAATTATCGCTACTTTCAAAGGCTTTCCTTGCTCTACCAATTGAGCAACTCTCATACCGGTCATGGTTGCGATGGATTTTTTAGAAAAGTAGTTTGAAGTGGTGGAAATTCTTTTGTCTGTAGAGAATCTGATGATGTGATTGATGTGTTTGATGGACCACAACTTGTTCTTATATACACATCAATCCCACCGTTACTCACGACTCACTTGTGATCGTGTCACCGTCCGGAAACTTTTGCGGACTCCGAAGGTACATATCAGAGCAGGCTTGCTCGGATATAGGACAACATAAAACTTGAAACTCGATCGATTCAATCTAAATTAAACATCTATATCGAAGCCGAAAACTGATTGTGCATACCGAGGTACTAGACTTCTAGGTTGGAAGCTACATGATCAGTGATCCAGACCTGCTTTTAGGACTTTCGATGTGCTGTCACAAGAGCCCGCTTTTTAAGCTTTCGATTGTTCGATTCTTCAACCCTTCGAATCTGGATACAGATTTCGACAAAGCTTCTGAGTCAATTGAGACTTCTATCCTCAATATTGGCTTGCTCTTCTTGCAATGTCCATCGAAGGTAGACGAGCTATAGCACTTGCATCTATCAAAGTAAATACAATCCGAAATTTGGTCAAGACTTTGTTCACTTTTCCCATCTGCTAAAGTCAATTCCGATGCGGATTTGAAAAGCGATGTGATACACCCCAGGTAAGCCAAGCAGGCAGGAAGTCCATTAAAATGGATCAGAGGGGGTCCACAATCGTCATAACTGCCATGCGCTTTGCAAGCGCGTAATCATCCTTCCGGCGCTTGGCGAGCTAAAGGGCGTTCTTCGGTAACCGATATCCCTGCTACGTGCACGACCCTACTATGTGCACGCTTTTATTATTTATATAGAAAATTGAATTAAAAATTGAAAAAGCGATATTATAATTTGAAATTCAAAATTGAGATAATTGAAATAAACTTATATAATATTTTGAAATAAAAAAATTAAAAATCTCAAAAATTATAATAATAATAATAATAATAAATAAGATATCAACTTTTATAAAAAAAAAAATTTATTTATTAATATATTTTATAATATAATTAAAAATATAAGTTTTTTTTAATGAAATTATGAGATTCCATATATTATAATATAAGATATTTGAAAAAAAACTAAAGTTTTTTATCGAAAATTTGAAATTATATTAATATTAAATTCTAATATATTTTATAAAAAATATTTTAATAATTAATTATTAATAGAATAATGAATTTATAATATTTTATTCTATTTTTAAGTTATATAATAACAGTAATCTTTTAAAAAAATATAAATATATTAAAATCTATAATTTATTAATATTATATTTAAATAAAGATTTATAAAAACTTATTAAGAATTTGATTTAATCTAATAATAAATATAATATAAGTATTTATTAATTTTTTAAGAAATTTCAATTTTAAACTTTTTTGTTATATAGTTTTTAATCAATTATTAAAGAATGAAACTATATTGATCAGATTTTGATTTAATAAAAAATTTAAATTTTGAAAATTAAATTATTAATTGATATTAAATCAATTTTTATTTAAAATAATTTTTTTGAAAATGAATTAATGATATTTTGAATTGAAAAAAAAAATATTTTTAAAGATTTTATTTTAAAATAATTTTTATATAATTTGAATCTTATTATATATAATAGAATTAAGATTTAGATAATTTTAAAAATAAAATTTCAAAATAAAAGATATTTTTTAAATAATTTTCTTTTATTAATCAAAACTTTATATATTTTAATATTTAATATAATCCCTTTTTTAAAAACTTATTTTTTAAATCTTTAATATTAAATATAAAATTTAAATTCATTTTAAAAAATATTTTTAACTTTTCTAAAAATATTATAAATCATTAGAAAAATCTAATAATCTATATTAAAACTAATTCTTTTTACTTTTTTGATTTTTTTATAATATTATTAATATCAAAAAATCTATAAAAATTTATTATAATTCTATAAATAGATTTTAATATATTATTTATTAAGAAATTATATATCAAGATTCTATATTCTCTTTATTTAATTATTCAATCAATTCTTAATTTAATAATTTGAAATCCTTATAAATCGAAATTGATAGTATTAATTAATTACTGAATTATATTTTATATTAATATAATGATTTTTAAATTTTAAATTGATTTTTGTTTTGATATAAAAAAAGTGTGCATATAGTAGGGTCGTGCATGTAGTAGGGATATCGGTTAGTCGTGGGGTAATTCCCGTGCCGTTTATCCGATTACCTGGTTGTTTGGCTTTTGGTGGCAGAGTGTCTACAACGGCGTTGGCAGGCCATTCAATTTCACGATGGTAGGATGTTAAGCTTTGTGAAATAAAGTATTGTTGCTTGAGAATTTCTCTATCCAGTAGACAGTTAGATGTGTCGACTAGTGTTGATCATGTCATGTGATGGATACAGCAAAACCTCTCTATAAGGATCCCCCCTATAAGGACAATCCCTTTATAAGGATATATTTTTCAATCCCCAAAATTTTTAGGGCTAAAAAAGGCCTATATCCTTAAAACCTCTCTATTAGGATATTCTTATATTTTTTGGTTCTAGGATCACATATATCCTTATTAAGCTAATAGAATTATTAGGATTAATCACTATATAATCTATATATTGAAATTTTAATAATTTTTTATAAAAATAGAAAAATTTACAAGATTGTTACAGAATATAACCCGTTCGGAACTAATCAGAAACAGATCATTATTATGTCGGGATTAGTTGGATACCTCTATATATCCTTGAAAAAGTCTACAAAAACTAGTATCCTTATAGAGAGGTTTTGCTGTAATAACATTTCAAGAAAACTTATGGGAGGTCAAAGATCGGAAGGATTTGGCAGACATGAGTAGCGGTGGAATCGTATTGTTTTTCGAAACCTTCGAATTAGTTTTGTCATTATTGAATTTTCACTGCCGTTAACTTTCCAATAGCAACGTAAACCCAGAAGTGGCAGGAGAGCCAACAGATCGAGCCATATCGATTGTAAAAGAGGGAAAAGCTTCTCATGGAAACCTGATCAATGGTTGCTCTTAATTTTACATGATGTGACATCGTCTCCTGATAGTCATATTATAGGAGGAAAAAGACGTGGGGTTTGAGAACTCTATCTTTTCAAACTTCGAGCGAAGTTAGGAGTGAGAGTTGGGGAGCTGAAAAATGAGATGGAATGCTTCGTGTTCGAGTCCCCCCAAACGTTTGATTGGGTTCCATACCATCAGTACTGCATCTGCAAGCTGTCCAAGTTGAAAGATTTGCACATACTACATAAACACCTCATCTGCCAGAATCTAATCCAGAGCACGCGGATAATTATCGCTGCTGCTACCGCCAAGGTTTATGAACCGAGTTTCCGAAAGTCAAAAGATGAGAAATCCTTTGGAAATCAAGTGCGATAGTTGGGATAAAACCTCTGAGTCGCTCATATCAGTTTTTGTCGTTTCGTTTCGCTCGCCGTCAATGTCGCTTCTCATCGGTTTCAGTCATACTGTAAACGTACACTTGCAATTACATCTATGCTCTACGCTCTGGGTCTCACGCAAGCAGAGTTTCTTTCCCACATGTCCCCAGAACTGAATATGTTTTCCACCGGCCATAGCTTTTCCCTCAGATCTGTTTCTCATGGTAATCTGTTATGGAGGTTCTCAGATAGTTAGGGTCTTTTATACAGATTCCGCAGATCTCGTCTGATTGAGATTTCAAGAATTATGAAGTAGAACTGTAATCTCTTTACTTGATTTATTGAATTTGGTTGCAGTTTAGCTAACACACTTTACAGGTTGCTCCGCAAATGTCGTGTACGTATGGCCGAGTCCAAGAAGATCAAAAACAACAAGGAAATGGTACGAGTATATAAGATTCCTCCTTACTTTCACTGTTTCGTTATCGAGTGAAACTGGACCACGCAGATGAAAAAGGAGAGAAAACCACCTTTGCATCAAACTCAGTAGGAGTACTGGATAGACATGGAAAGATTTTAGATACATCAATGCCAACTCAAACACTGGTATCGTGCTTGATTTCACCGTCCAAGACTTCCATTGTTGTCGTTTTCCAAACTGATTTCGCATTGTCATTTTCATAAACTTCAGTGTCATAGATCTCTTTCATTACCAATTTCTTAGATCACACGACATCCATATTTGCCCATTTTACCCCCTCTCGTTTATCAATATCAAGCAGAAATATGCCTGCTTTCTCCAGACAATTAATCGGAACCCGCACCATCACTACGCTCACCTGTAAGCCACAATCCAGAATCTTGTGTGTTATTAGAGAAAGAAAAGAGCGGATTGATTTCAGCATGCGGTTCTTATATGAAAGGCACGGAAACGGAGAACTGTTGCAAATTCTATATTGATAATATGAATAAAGAGAAACTTCCAGTAAATCCATCTAAGTTTGTGATTATCATGATTCCGCGGAGCTAGCAACTATATGCATATCATCATTACAGCCAATAATTTTCACGCATTTCCAAATCCCTTTCTTGTCCTAAAGCATGCGGACCTATAGTGATTTGATCCCATGCATCCTGAATTTTCGGTCAGCCATGTATGAAACAGTAGTATGGAAAAGTGTATAACTCACCCAATCAAAGTCTCCCGGTATATCGACTTGTTCCCCAAAGGTTCCAAAAATCCCTCCTGTATCGAACATGTTTTCTGGAATCATACTTATGTCATTGAAGCTGTCATCTTGGGTCGTAAACATTGCCGGAACCGCGATATTTGTATAAGTTGGTACCGAATTACCAAGTATTTCCGCATCCGCCTGGTTCATAGTCGTAACAACAGGAGGCTGTTTAACACAATCCGGATTCACATTCAACACAACATTATTCTGCACCTTTGCCGTCAACCTCTTAATCAAACTGCTTAAAATATCCACTGCCCTTTTAGCATCCTTACATTTCCCCTCAACCTCCCTCCAAATATCTTTCGCCCTGATCAACGCCTCCAATTTTTTCTTTTCAGCAACAGAACAATAACTCATACCACCACTCCTTGGGTCTGTTCTTTGATTCGTATTCAAATCTAAACACATAATCATAGCTGCGAGTAAAAAATCATGATTTGTCATGGAAAAATGCCACCATTTAAAGTCCTTCAGTATTCCACCCGGTTGACTCGCTTCGTGCATGCTGACCTGGATATTCAGGAGAGCCATGGAGGATAGTACACACATACGTCTTGAATACCAACGGAACTCATCTGGATTTCCAGGTATTGTAGCGTTCCAATATTTGCGATGAAGAAGAAGTGTAGCTTTATAGTAGAGCTTTTGAAGAAGGAATTTTTCGGCAATAGTGGATGGGGTCTCGTGAGTCATTTGAGAAAGAGTACCGAGTTGGAGATGCGCGGGAATTTGATCGTGGTATTGTTTGAGCATTTCATCCAGTTTGATTACTTCTGTATATGGTTGAGGTTCGACGATGTGGAGGAATTCAATGGCATAGCCGTAGGCACGCATAATCCGAGATTGGACGCGTTGGTAACAATTGCGTGTGCTTTCAGTATCAGGCCGGGATGGGGGGAGAATGGTCATGTGTTCGGAAAGCTCTTCTACGCGCAGGTTGCGGGGTTCTTTTGTATCGCATTCAGCAAACTTTATAGATTTTGGAAGTCCGATTTGAATGGAGAAAAGTAACCTGTAGTTCAACTTTAGCATGATGCGGTGTTGAGGGTGGGCAAGTATCGTATGAACCATATACACCCGAGAACTTCAGCTAGCCTCAGTTTTCTACTCAAAAAAGTTGTAATCAAAGATTGTCCATGATTCATTTGACAAAAATAGGAACACATGGAAAAGAAATTTGTACTTCCCGCCCACCAGGCCAGTAAAACATCAATTGATTGAAATATCCTCAAATAAAAGTTAGTTACTTACTCATGTTGTGTAACAATCAGCCAAACACGACGTCTCATTTCGCCCTCATACACGCTGAGACGAGAATGCTGATCTGGATCACGATGATATCCCTGTTGTAGGGCTAGACGCATAATATTCCCAGATAAAAGCCAAGTACCCATATCACCATCTCGTTCATTTGCATACTCAATGAAAGCGTAACATAGCATGGTTTCTATCATCAAGTAGGCAGGTCTTGTGATATCAGCTATTACTAGACACTGGGCGGTGCGGATACGATAAAGGTCTATGAGTGTCGCTAATTTGTCTTGATATTCAGAAGGTATGTCATTGTTACGGGAATAGGATTGCAGGGCCAAACACATGGTTGAGAAGTATAGACCAATCCAGATGATTCGAGCTGCTTGAGGCTCCTCCCAGAAACTTTTGATCTATGGGATGCGTCAGCCGATGACATTCACGAAATTGAGGTCTCAATTGCCGAAATTTGGGCCAATAACGAGAGATTCCTGACGAAACTCTCTTTGAAACATGCAATCGTATTCGAAGATGAGAATATTCTGCATTAGACTTATTGTCCACACTATCGACCACTTTACATAGTATTGGGAAATTTACCTGCTTCATATAAGCTGTTTTGTGGAACAAATCTTCATCATTCGTGAGCTTCTTTGATACACCAATCTAGTGTAGATATAGTTCTGGTTAGTGGTCACTTACAACATGCTGGTATGGAAGGGTTATAACTTTCAAAGAATCGTTCAATAAGCTTATCTCCCTCTTTCCTGGAAGGTAAAGATGCAAGTATCGTTGCACGATCAGGTGGTTCAGTAAGACTCCCTAACAGACTTGGTCGATAAGAAGTTGTTGCTGGTGGCAATGATGTCTCGAATTGATCGTGGTCATCAATCCATGCATCTTTCACTGCTCCGAGCTATTTTGAAGTTTCAGCAAGCAGGCATCTATGGCAGATTGTCGTCGTACTCACATCGCTGAGAATCGAATCCCAATGTGTACTCCTTGTATCGACAGAAGCTTTTTGACCACCTGCTTGACCGACATGATCATCATTATTCTCTCCGAGACTTGAAAAGAGAGGAGGGATGTTGTTCTTTTTCTCTTTGGAAATCATAGATATGATTGAGTTTTCCAATCGATCGATTCGTGCTCTCATATCTTCTTGCTCCGGTTGCAAAGTAGAGAGCCTCGGTAAACGAGCATCATTCTTCTCGGCATATGAGCAAGTAGTGATTGCTATATCTCCCCTTACTGCACAGTTTTGACATGGTTTTTCTCTATTGCATTTTAACTTTCTGACCCTACAAGCTTGACATGAAAGGGGTATACGACGTCTGGTGAGTTTGGTACCCGTGAGTTTGATCTGACCATTAACTCGTTCTCCACGCTCTTCTCGTGCGGAACGTTTTGTGTTCTCCATGATTGATTGCTGGCTAACCTGAGATCAACAATATCAATTGGCTCTGAGACCGAGACAGAAAACATCGGTAAACGAGGAGTCAGGATAAAGCGTTCACGTACTGGTATTGTACGGGATGATTCGTACGCCAAAAGACAAGTCTGAGGGTTGCTTGATTATCAAATCATCAAATCTACATACAGACTTTCGGAATGGTCGGCTCTTCCAACCGGCCGACAAATTCCTAATGGGGGATTGTATATAAGATATGTCGTGATATGTAAGCAAGCTCGAGCAAGTCAGCACGTTGCAGTTCGGCTGTTGAATGGTAGTTGATAATTGGATGAAGTGATCTTGGCTGCAGAGCCACCAGAATTTGATGCGTCGAAGGCTAGGTCACGTGAAACTTTCGTTCGGCGGAATGCGGCGGTAGAAACATGGGAAAATTGCTTTGAACTCTGCTTTACGTGAGACCGTGCAAAATTTCGACAGACTCCTACTGATCAAAAAACCCCCATCATCTCTTCGTATTATACATCAAAAGACAGATCACATTATTATATTGCGGCGATCAAACAGACATTTGAAGTTGCTGTTGATAGCGCAAAAGTACAGATCCACCAACCCCGGCAACCCGGAGATAGCTCGATATCCCCACTACCAGACATCGACCCCTGTGCTCGTCGCAAGATTCAAACTTTTAGGGACATTCAAGCTTCTTGGAACTTTCCACTACGCACTATCCAAAATGTCCGTTCGGCCAGCTTCAACAGCTCTAGCCGAAGATGAACATCGTAAGAAGCGCGTTAGAAAAGGAACCAAAAGTTGTTGGGAATGCAAACGAAGAAAAGTCAAGTGTCAACTGAGTTCTGAGCACGTCAGTGTTTGTTCTGGTTGTTTATCACGTGGAACGACTTGTATAAGTCAAGAATATCCAGAAGAACATGATTCTTCAGGCGGCCCTCAACTTGGTGAACGCCTCGGTCGTATAGAGGCTGTTCTCGATAGATTAATGTCTAAAATGGAACAGTATGAAGAGCAAGATAATGCGACTAAGATCCATACTCCGGAAAGCATGGGTACTGGTGATGTTCTTGCACCATTTGCAAACACCGCCTCAAATGGATATGACAGTGCTACAACTGTACCCATTCTGTCCCTCTTTGATAATCCTGTTGTGAGTGGCCTTACATCCCATATGATATATTTGCTCACGTCCTTTAAAGCTAGGTCGCCGAGAAAAAGAAAGTCAATCCGAGATCACAACCCCAAAATCTCAACCAAGTGGTGAAAAGCCAACTAAACAATGTTGCATACCAACAAAGATTGAGAGGATCAAAGATGTTCTAATGGAACTTCTTCCATCCCAGGAAGCCACGAATATACTTTGCTCTTTCTCTGATTGCTGGCTGTTGTTGCATTCTTTGACAAACCACTCGGCTCATATTATGCTAGAACCGTCAGCATTCAACCCTAATCATTCAATCAATGTTCCCAGCATCGCAAAAGAAAGTCCTGCAATGATAGCACAAATACTTCTTTACATGGCTGTATGCTTACAGCAAATACCTCATGGATACGACGCAAGCCAATTAGGGATCACCACTAGCATCGAAGCCCGAGTAGATAAGATCATATCGACAGTTTCAGGGCTCGTGACTTCGGATGACGAACTTGTAGCTTCTGTTCAAGGACTGGAATGTTTAGTACTCCAAGGATTGTTTCACATGAATGCGGGGAATTTACGTCGCGCATGGCTTACATTCCGTCGAGCTATGAATATCGGTCAGCTTATGGGTCTACATAAACGCGAAGAGATTAGTACTACACCTTTACCGCCTGGCGGAGTCAACCTTTGGAGAAGTTTGATGCAGGCAGACAGATATTTGAGTTTGCTCTTAGGCATGCCTGCTGGAGCGGAGGATAGCGTGATCTTACCTCACGAAACTTTTAGCAATCCTAACATTGATCATGACGTTCTATTCATCAGAAAGCTTACAAATCTGGCTGGAGGAATTATCGAGAGAAATCAATCTGACTATATTCATGCATTCGCCAGTACTCAGGACCTTGACGAGAAACTTGAAAACATTGGTAGGGAAATGCCTGCATCTTGGTGGGAAGTGCCAAGTTATATCGAGACTGTCAGTAAAGATCCGAGCTCCGCCTCAAAATTCGATCGAATCATGTCACAAATCTACTACTTTCAACTGGAATCATTCTTACACTTACCATTCATGGTTCGAGCTGCTACCGAACGTCGTTACGAATATAGTAAATTTACTTGTCTCAAATCATCTCGAGAAATCATATCCCGGTATCTCACCATCAGACGCTCAGGTACTAAATCTTTTTGTTGCAAGGTGGTCGATTTTGGAGCTTTCACGGCAAGCGTAACTCTTCTCTTGAGTATACTGGAAATTCCTCTAGTAGGCGGCGACACAATTGCAGTCCAAACCCAAAAGAGATCTGACAGGGAGCTTGTTGAAACCGTCTTGGGTGTCATGGGCGAATGCGCTGCAGAAGATGATGTAATGGCCACCCAAAGTGTCGAGGTTATTAAAACCCTTCTGGCATCAACGAGCACAAGTGGAAATCTTCGTCTCACAATCCCCTATTTCGGCACAATTTCAATAGCACGCACACCTGTATCTTCAACACCCGCTACAAATTTCACCCAATCGACTCCCTCCATCGACGCCCAATCTTTGAACACGACTCCGTCTCTTATGCAAAATATGACCCCTGGAGACTCGCAACAAGTGCAGAATGAATTCGACAGTTCACTCAATTGCCCATGGGCTGCTGCCCAACCTATTGTTTCCTTTAAGAGTAGTCAGTTCCCACCATTGGAGCCGGAACAACAAATTGATGATTGGTCGAATTTACAAGTGGATAACACGATGTTTTTTGACAGTTTGTTGAATACAGATTTGGAAGGAAATTGGTATTTCTAGGCGGAGCCGTGAAACAAAGAGCTTGACGAGATTGGAACATGGTCGTTGTTGCGAGAAAGGCCAATGATCCCAATGGCAAAACGGTTAATGGACAAGGTCGGTGCATGGGAAAGCAGGTAGAAGTGAACTGCAAAGATATACCGATAGTGACCCGGCGCGGACTACGGAAGAGAATTTATGAGGCGCTGTGTAAAACATGTATTTCAAGGGCGGGAATTTGGGGAAAACATCAAGAAAATGGCAAGGCACGCTCTTCTCATGTCGCAGATTTCGGGAATTTATTATATTATCATCAATTCAACAGGAAATAGCTATTAAAGGCTATATATTCTTTCATCCTGTATTGTGACTCCTAATGATAGCTCATTTTTAAAATTCACTCATTGCTTCGCTCATTCCTTATAAATCTCCCACGAACATCGATACGACTAATTTATCATGCCACCCTCAAGAGGTATTCCCTTGCGAAAAATCTTTGATTTCTCAAGAAGAAAAAAGACTAGTCTTAAATTGAGGAAAGACCGTCTTTACTGAAGTACGGGCCACCACGGACGAGAATTGCCACCGTTTTCTTGAGTTGAAGCATAGGGAACATTTTATTTATTTATTTTCCTTCTATTTTTGATTTGATAAGTGTGAAAAGAAGCTAGTTCTTTCTTGAAAGAAAGGTTGTTCTGTGGTAATGAAAGGCATGGCTCTAGTGGCACAACACATGTACTAGTAAATGTAGCATTTTGGGCATGAAGTTGATGATATATACCAAGTTTCCAAGGATATATCTCCATGAGATGACGGTATTGATATCGGTGAAGTTGCTGGTTCTACTGTATTTCTTGGCAATAACCGTTTCTTCTTCTCCTCGGGAGCTTAGCATAGTCCACGGTCTTTATAGTATGAATGGACTCATAGTCCTGTACCATTCATTACAAATTTTGACTGGTTTGCTACGGCGCCAAGCTGTGAGTGGGATAAACAAATGAACTGGTCATTTCCCCCAGTCCTCTTTCCATGACTACATTGTCTTGAGGACCTGTTTGTATGACTGTGGATATCATAACCGTAACTGATTTGATTCATAGCCCGCATTGAAGGAGTGTATAAATGCATTTCCATCTTTTCGGGAACGAATCAAGAAGCACAACTTCCGCAGCAAAACATTCAAACTCATCAAGCACACATACATTCGCCAACTTTCACATTACGTTAATCAGAGCACTTCAACTAGGCGCTGAACTCACACAATTGTTACCATTTACCTCATAGTCTTCATTCCGACTCTTGATATCCAATCCACGAAGTCCCATATCTAAAGAAAATGACATCTTCGAAACTCAGGAGTGGCTGGGACGCTCAAGGTGCCTTGAAGCGAGTGGAACGAGACCCCGCCTTTTCTTTCCCTCAATGCTACGAGGAAAATTGGTTCCCTTCGCACCAGGTGGCCTCGAATTACGTGCCAAAACCACCTCCTATCGACTCAACCAGGCTTGGGTATCAGTATGTCAAAGATGAAACTCCTAGTGCTGATGAATATTACCGCGCACAAAAACTGCAAGAACAGCAACGACAAGCACCAAAGCCGGCAACGCCGTCTCCCGCAGTCAGTCTTATTTCGACACACGGACGAAAGCCCATGCATGAGACAGCTAATGTGCGGGGTAAATCGCATCATCAGGGTCGAGGTCATCAAACAGCGGGAAGAAGTTTGGGACCACCAGTATCGGCGCAACGCAAGCCTTCTGTTTCGAAACCGGTATCTCAGAAGGTAAAGTGAAATCTGTTTATTGTTTTCGTACATAGGACTGACACTGATCGTTTTGGTAGAAACCTAGTAGTGAAGACGGAGGCTGCTGCGTGGTGATGTAGGGTTCTAGAAATGGTGTTATGAGCATATTTCAGTTTTGTATTTCATTCAGCTTCTTACTCGGAAGTGTAGCGAGGTGTTGATATCACTGGAGTTTTGGATGCTTTCATACTGTATAATATGTAATCGCTGCTTTAGAATAACCCGAGAGGCTCAAAGGGATCGTTTTACTGCTTATTGATTGATATCGATAGCCTCCATGCCTTCTCAAGACTCTTATTACCCTTTCATCTCTCATGCAAAAGCAGTATCCTGAAGAGTCATTATTTCCAGTCATTTCCTCTTGTTACTCATAAAAATGATAGTAATTGTATCTATGATTCATATCAGGAAGCCCTAATGCGACTCATGGCAATATAGATCTCAATATAAATAATTCCACTTCTGCTGCAGATTTGTCCAAGAAACCAAAGCAGAACATCCACTCAAATTCCATTCACCCTTCTGAGTCGAATCCTGCATACGTTGATCAGTATTAGTACTCTCACATATCTGGCTCACACACTTTATTCGTTTGAAGCACTTCAAATCAACCACAAGATTTCGCATCGTCATTGCCCAATTCTCATTTTACAATCCAAGATCCAGTCCCCAAGTTCTCGAAATCCAGAAATCACATCAACTCCAAGAGCGAGTATGACGTTGAATCCTCATATCACCGATCTCTCCAATTATGAGGGTCCTAATATCAAGCACAAAAAAGCCAAACGACCCAGTATTCCAGCACATGGACCGTCAGTCGAAAAGAAGAAATACGATCCAAGTCAAGCCACCTTCAAAAACATGGAGGAAAAGAAAGGTTACAAAGGTCGCATTCTTGAACAAGATCTTGAAAAGGTAATAAATATTTTATTCCTCCATACAGGATAAGTACACTAACTTTTTGGTAGAAAGAAAGTGGATGCTGCTCGATAATGTAGGCTGAAGACGGAGCTCTGCGTATGGCTGTTTGGGCATGGTATCGATGTTGTGTCTTTCTAAGAGGATATGGCTTTTCATGGGAATTGTGAGGTTTACCTATTGTTGTGGTATTTTGCCATATGGGTTTAGGATATAGACTGACTGTAAAATACACAATCGTTGCTTTTTGCATCTCTTCAGGAGCCTCTTCTATAAAAACCCAGACTGATCTCCTTGAATCTAAACTGTGGATGTGAGTTCCGCTCTCAAGCATTGATGTGACTATTTTTAAAGCTTGATGACTATAAGCCATGACTATCCTATCCTTTCATTATATAACTCATTCTTTCTCATTTTCCAGCAGTCCGAGTCATTCTTTTCAATCATTTCCTCCGACTATTCTAGGACTCATAAGGATAGTACTTATGACTTTTTAGTCCCACGTGATACGTGGTTCATATGCACATCATATCAAGAAGGCTTCATCTATTCGACCGCTCACTCATATGGTACTTTATTTATGGCCATAACCTCAGGATTCATAAGCGACATCATTTCTTGCCTCACAGGGCATCTTATGACTACACAACCACAAAAGCTAACCATTCATGGTCCTTACCTATGGATATATTTATAGCTTCTATCTCCATCGGTTGGGGAAGTTTCTTACATTTCATACAACAATCAAGTTCAAAAATAATTTCAAAGTTTCTACGAGCATCGATATTTTCATACACACCTATCTTTGACCTCATTCTCCCCACTACCTGTCCGTTTCACGCCATGCCGCAGAATCCGTTCCGAAAGTTCAAGTTGGCGAATAAACCAGCTCCAAATGATAACACTGTCACACAATCATGGCTAGAATCCAAAGTTCACCTCCAACTACCTGGGCGTAAGCGAAAAACGATGTTTTCAAAGGATCAAGCAAGTAATTACTATAATAATCTATCTCCAGAAACGCGCAAGACTTACGGATACCCGCTTCCTGCAAAGACACCTGGATTCAAAATACCAAGAAAGCCATTGCCAGAACATCAATACAATCTCGACGAGAATATAAAAGTGAAAATTGGTAAGAGCCCCAATTTTGTCCGACCACAGACAACAAACATTCCACTCCCAGCAAATCCCCCCAAGGCGCATTCGCGAGCAAAATTATCTTCCTCGCAAAACAGTTCCCGATCAGGACCATCCCGAACCCCTTCAAAAATGAATATGGAAGAGCTAAAGAGAGATTTCTCCGATTTTGAGAACCTCCGGCCAAGCAAGGAATTTCAGAAGTTACAACAAACTATGAAGGAAACCAAGCATGCTCAACCACAAACAGTAACATCAAGCGAATTTCAAAGATATAAGTCGATCGCAGGCGTAATTCATGATGAACCATCACGAAGATCCTCGATACAATCTGCGGATCCTCATTCAAAACCCGGATCCAGCAGGATACATTCGCCAGTTGAACAATTCCAAGCACAAGGCCTGAGTCTCGAAATGTTAGAGGATCAATATTACAGTCTAGAAGCGCAAGATCGCCAAAATAAAGAGCACCACCAGTCATCAGCAAAATCTCTTCGATCAGGAGCAAGATCTCATAAGTCAAGGGCGGTAACCACTCCTCAGTCGCCTAAGAAAATCCAACAGATTGAAGCAAGACCTTTACCGCCAACACCGAAGCCGCATCGGTCCTCAGAAGTACCTATACATTCATCAGCAAGATCTCAGAGACCTAAAATATCAAGTACTCCCACACCAATAGAAAACATCAGGCAATTAGAAACAGAATATTCACCACGAATCCGAACAACGAGTTCATCGCATCGACCGGCAGAAACACCTATTTATTCATCAGCCAGATCATACAGGCCTCGAGCACCAAATACTGCCAGACCGTTAGAGAATAATAACCGGTTAGAAACAGGGTTCCTAGAACGTTGTCCGATGCCACATCAAGCACTAATAATACCACATCAACCATCATCAAGACCTCACAGACCCCCAACCCAACTCATTCCGAAACCCAAAAGAACTGTCCACTTCGAAGAAAGACCTTCGCAGCCAGTCCCAAATACCCTCCGGGAACGAAGAAGGCCTCCTCTAGAACCACCGCAGCCACATTCAGATAGATTCAAGCCGCATCCACCTGTACGATCATCTGTAAGTAAAGTATCTTCCTTAACTCGTTATGAGATTGGAAGTGTGCTGACTTTTTCGGATGGGGAAAGGACAGGGAGAAGAAACGTCGCTGGTGGAAGAGATAGGTAATATAATGGAAGCCATTTGCTTTTAATTATGCGACTCTACTTAACATTGCGTCCCTATTAGTAATCTTGCGGGTAGGGTTAAGTAAGGGTAGGTACCACTGGAATCTTTTTGAGACTAGCGATTTCTCTACTTTGAGGAGTGTTTGCATATTAAATCGCCAATGTTACTAGACTTGAGCATCAGTATTTTGGATATGAATGATCTGTACAATAAGCAATCGTTGTTTAAATAAATCTCCATACAATCAATGTATATCTTCGTGATAATTTTAATCAGATTGAAAGGAAATTCAAATGTGTCTCGCACAGTCAGTCTCTCAATCATTTTCTTCCTTTACTCCAGAGTCTGTAAAATTGAAACTCATTTTATAGATATATGATTGATCAAGAGCGCTCATAAATTATAAATATATTAAAGTCCTCTTCATCTCATAATCCGCCTTGATCCTCGATCTCTCTCATAGAGCAAAAGCATAATAGTCTGCCACTAGACACGATATTGTTTACACATGGATTCATCAACGTTTGTTGATGACATCTTCTAGAATCGAGCAACTCGCTTCAAATTCTCCCACTTGGTCCTTGGCCCTACTATATTTACCTGTTTTGAGTGTACAATGAAGCCAAAAATAGTTCCAACTCTTGACAGAAATCTAGTGAATGTCGCTAATATGCCATGGTATAGATCGATAGCATAGCTCCTAAGTATGCTTCATATTAATCGACCGGAACACTAGGTCTAGGAATCAACAGATGGATGGACTCGTTGTCTTTTCATAGACTTCTAGAGCACCAATACAACAATATCTTCCACTTAGAACTCCATCTTCTTCTATACAAACCCGTGAAACCATATCCTGGACAGTCGTTTTCACCAGTCCCTCTGACCAGTCACTTCCCCAGTCACTCACCCAGTCACCCCCTTATCAGTCACCACCTCCAATTATCCATCAACACTCATAGCTATCACTCCCAACTATGATTATGCAACCATCAAGCCTCAAGACTCATATCACATCCATGAGTAATAACGAACATATAAGTCCACAGCTCAAGAGCTTAGAGAACTATCCCCAACTCAGAAAACCACATCCAGTAGTAAAAAGTACATTCAAGCTCATTCAAGCTCGTTAACATTAATCGATATCAAAGTACCGCACACTTTTCAATCACAGATAACTCACTCGAGCACCCCAAATCATCCACAAACTCCCATCAAACCGGATCATCACAAACCTATCTATCACTAATACTTGAACAACTCGCAACCCCAGGCACCACATCACACCATGCCTCAGGAGAAGGTACACCGTGTCAGCAAGTACACCGAAAACATCGATGGACCCATCAAGCGACCACCAATTTTTGTGTTTGGCCCGCGTCCACCCGTTCAGCATAAGATTAAGCGTAAACCTGTTCCTCTACCTGTAGGTTCTATTTATACCCACCCAGCTCAAATACATACAAATGCATACATATAAATAGATATCCAATCCACTAACTTCCTTCCTTCCCTCCAACAGAAAGCGCCAGTAAAAGTAGGAAATGGTTCATGTTGTGGATGTGTAATTATGTAGATTAGATGTATGGTTTATGTAGTGTACCTAGTAGATACTTGAGCACTTTTATGAGGGATTTTTATGAGGGATGAGGAGTATTGGATCGGACGTTACTGGAGATGGAGTTATTGGAAATGGAGTTATTGTATAGGGTGTTATTGTATAAGAATCTCTTGAATATAGATATACTAAATAACTCCCCATTAACCCTAACTTTCCATCATAAAACAAACCCCACCTCTATTAAGACCACAAGACCACAAGACCACAGAACACCAAACATATCATTCAACACATCACAAATCACCAATATCATATCCAGAATTTCCAACTACTCCAAAACCCACCTATCAACCGTCCTTCCTATCAAACCTACCAATATCAATATTAACATCACTCAATCCCCCTAATCATAATAAAATACAATATAAAATAAAATAAAATAAACTATTCCATATCATACATAATCCAATTCTAAAACTAATACATCTTTGCGTGATGGATTTCCTATAGACAATTTGACATGTAGTGTACATGACGATGACATAATTAGGCAAACCCTGATAAAGTATAAAAATTCAATACAATCCCATCCCATGCCATTCCATCCCCTCTCCTTCAGATGAAAAGAAATCAAACCCCATAAACCTCCATAAACCCCCCCCCCCCTCTAACCATTCATTTTCCCAGTCATACCTACCTAGGTACCTACCTACCTAATCTCCATTCACTCCAAGAGCAAAAGTCACAAGATCTACGTGAAGATATCATATCATTGCTAATATGACTATACACCCCAAACCACTTACGAATAATCACCACTTCAACACCTACAATCCGCGAGCATAAATGATCCACCTCCACTCTCCCATGCATGCCTATTCATCTTCTCATTCTTTCCTGAGCGATCAAAAGAATCCATCAAATAAGGTAGCAAAAGAAAAAGTTTGAAAACATCATCGATACTCAACTTTTCCAGACCTCAAAGATCCACACCACTAGAAGCACTCAAAGCCCAACAACTCAACCATCATGTCATCCCCATCCCCCCATCTCTCACCCCCTCAAAACCCAACCCCAAACCCAAACCCCTCACAACCAAATTCCTCGAAGGACCCATGCTGGACGAACCCTCCCCCCACCAGCACCACACTACCTCAACGAACCACTGCATCCACCACCCACCCAGCACCTTGCCAACCCACCCAGCACACGATCTATTTCCTCCACGAAGCATCCAGATCCAGATTCAGATCCAGATCTAGATCCCCAAATCGCAAAACCAAAACCAAAACCAAAACCAAAACACCCCAACAATACACTTCACAACCTCTCGAAGCCTCATCACCCAAGTCAACGCAACGAACGTGAGTAACATGAGTAAACAAACCATGCTATCCCACAACTCCCCCAAACATAACTCTCTACTAACATCCCCTCACATCAGAACCCTACAGATATATAACCAGCGAAGCAACATCAGGGATTTCCACTCCGTACATATATCAAAGGATATACTGACACTCGATACCAAATTTTCGAGGCTGTTTTATTCCGGGCGGTGGATAAGATACTTACTAACTAAGTAGTACTCTCCTTTTTGGAATTTCTGTAAAACTATTTACCTAGGTATTCGTAATCAAATAACAAAACATATTTTCTTCCACTTAAAGAAATTATATCCGTATTCCTGGGGCACAAATTCCAAAAGTGAAGAAATGCCCTCAGTTATGACAAGTCTCGAAACAAATCATGCACTAGCGCTAGCACTCGCACTCTCCCATACACTCTTCCACATAGAGCCTCACAAACTACTCTACTATGCCATCCCCACGATCCAACAACCAAATAACAGACCAAACAACAACCCATCTCCCCATCTCTCCATTCCCCCCAACCCCCCAACCCCACAAATCCCTCCCCATCTCCTAGCAAAGAAATTCAACCGCAAAAAATTCCACCATAAACAGTGAACTGAATAACCCCCAACGCACCAACAAACCGATTTTGCAATCTGATTCCCGAGTATGGGTCGCTTACGATATGGTATGGTATGTCTCTTCGTGCCATATATCTAGATCATTTGAACATTCCAGTGGTTCGGTAGTTCTAGAGTTATCTGCCTATCTAGGCGGTTTGGAAAAAAAACCCCCAATCTACATACCTGGGCATCCGGCGATACACACCTTCTACTGGCCGACGCGCTTGCTGTGGATATCGAGGACAATTTTCTCATATGAACACATCACCACCACCCCCTTCCCGTGCCCTTCACATAATCTCAAACACCACGGACAGATAAACGAAGCAAATATGAAGGGAATCTCATTTCGAGACACAAGATAGTAGATGGACGTTCGTAGAATCACATACCGAATTGAAAAATTTGCAGGACTTCGCATACCCTACACCATATAATTCCATCATCAAGTAAGTAAGTACATCGCGTATACCCAAACCAAATTCAAATCCAAACGCAACAAAAAATCATTCGCAAATCCACATATCCACATATCCACACAATTAAATGAACAAATCGACATCACAAGATCGTACCCTGAACTTCAGTAATCCTTTCATATACATTTTCATTTCTCATATCTCACAACCTAGCCTTTTCATTTTCCTTCTCCGGACCCGAGAGTCATTCTCTCATATTAACCACACATCTAATACAATCACCCTTCTTCATATCATCAAATGCTTGGTTGATTCCCTTCAAAGGTTGTCTGTGAGTAATGAACTCATCAACCTTTAATTTACCTTGCATGTAATCATCGACCAATTGAGGTAATTGGGAACGACCTTTGATACCACCGAATGCACAACCTTTCCAGACACGTCCAGTGACAAGTTGGAATGCTATAGGAGATGTCAGTAATTTGTATCTTATACGAACATCGCCTGCTAGCAAGGAAAAGAGGATAACTCACGTCTGGTACTAATCTCCTGTCCAGCAGCAGCAACACCAATAATAATACTTTGACCCCAACCCTTATGACAAGCTTCCAAAGCAGCTCTCATAACACCAACATTTCCAGTGCAATCAAAAGTGTAATCACAACCACCATCGGTCATTTCGATCAATTTCTCTTGAATACTTTGACCCTTCAATTCAGTTGGGTTAACGAAATCGGTGGCACCGAATTTCTCAGCCCATTCCTTCTTGGATGAGTTTACATCAACTACGATGATCTTTGAGGCCTTTCTCTGAACAGCTCCTTGAATTACACTGAGACCAACACAACCGGCACCGAAGATAGCGACAGTAGATCCTTCTTCAACTTTGGCGGTCTCGACAGCAGCTCCGTAACCGGTAGTAATACCGCAACCAAGTAAACAAGTGCGATCCATAGGAGCATCTGGGGTGATAGCGACAACAGAAATATCGGCAACAACGGTATATTGAGAGAAAGTAGATGTTCCCATGAAGTGGAGGAGATCTTTACCCTTGCACTTGAAACGGGATGTACCATCTGGCATGACACCCTTTCCTTGAGTTGCA